TTGTTAAAATTTATGTTTTTAATTTTGTTTGTCATATCAAAATACTTGTTTATATATAGCGAAGTGTTATAAACTTAGAATAAAGTTTTACTTAAATTATAATAGTATTAAAAAAAATAATAATAATAAATTATAAATAATAAAACTAATATTTAATTTAGAAACAAGAGATGCTTTTTTATGTCTAAATCTATAGACGTGTTTTTTCCCTACGCTATTTTATCGATTTAATAAATGTTTTAATGAATAAGTAGTGTTGTATAAAACTATATTTTCCTACCGGAAAATTAGAAACGGAGACGACCAAGGTAATATCAGCGAGAGTTAGAGTTTTTCCTGCTACATAATTTTCCCCTTCCAGGAATTTATCCAAGAGAGACAAGGCTTCGTGCAGTTTATCATATTTTGCTTGCTCCGGAGTGATGCCGGTGAAAATTATTGGATACTGCGATTAATGTATGTACATACATTATATACGTGTATCATTTCTATTAATCTTAGATATTAAATATGATTTATGAAGTATTATACGTTCCAAGAATAACTTACGTAATAATCAGCGAACGATCGATATAGAGTTCCCATATCGAAGTAAAGTTTTTGGTCCACCATAGCTCGTTTTTTCGGATCATTTGGGTACAGAGAATCGTTCTTGCCGTATTGATTAACTAGATAAGTCATAATTGCGCGGCTGCAAAGCGATGCAAGCGCGTAAATAATTTATTATAATAATAAATGACTATTGATTTTACTAAAGAATTTAAAGAAAAATATATGACAAAGACAGTTAGATACAAAAATATATTTATTTTATATGTGTGTAAAAATTAGACTTGTGGACATTCACTAAATTTTAATATAAAAAGATTAAAAGATAAACACCTTTCACACAAATATAAGCCATCATCGTCCAATGTAGGTACTGTATGTTGTGGGTTCACGCTCTACTTTTCTATATAATTATATATATATATATATATATATATATATATATTATAAAAATATGTAACAAAATAACAATTAGAGTGCGTTCGCCTCTGTACATAAATCTATACGAAACTATCTAATCCGTATCTTTCCATATCTCCTCCTTCTTAATCCTTTTTTTTTTTAAATAAATTCTCGGAGTTTTTGTTGCATGTTCTACAACTTTATAGAGTGAAAACTCACTCTAAAGAGTGAAATCTCATTCGTAAAAATTGAAAATTGAGCCAAGTTTTAAAAAGTGTGGTTTAATTTTCATTCTTTAGAATGAGAATCCATTCCAAAAAATTTAAAGAGTAACAACATAAAAATAATTTAATTTAAGAATTCATATTGTATTTATATTAAAAAAAATTTTATTATAAGTCACCTTAATAAATTCGGATTTTAGGTGTTCGCCGGCAGAGAGATCCACATTTTTCACATTTAAATCAACTCCTACAGCTGCCGCTGTTAAGAGAACGGCCCGACATGGCGGACTTCCGGTAAGTTGGTAAAGATCGATGGGCATCTTGAAATCTGCGAAGACGATATGCACGATATGCTATTAATGAAGTGGCGATAATACGCGCCACATGTGTTTTTGTATTTAAAAGAGTAATTAATTATGCGAGTATGACTGAAAAATAGAAAGAAACGAAGAAGAGTAATCAAAATATCAGACACAATCAGGCAACATTGTCTCAAATAAATCTAATTTACGGCACATAATTTGCGTTAATTAATTAGTCAAAAGAAAACTTGTCAATTATAGGCCACAAGTTATAACGAAAAGTGGACCGTGGCTTCACAAATTTAATTATGCACTAGGCAGATATGGAAAATGATTCAGTAAGTTTCTAAGTTCATAAATTATCGCGTAATGAAGTACGATTCATACACTCGTCGAATTCCAAAAATTATAAAAGTCAATATCGCGCATTAAGAATCACAATTCGCAATCGTTCAAGTATAGTCTTATCACTTCAGCGGTTTTGGTGAATTATTTATGGCAGGTAAAGAGAGATGGAAATGAAAAATCACATCGAACCGAACCTGCAGATTGTCTGGAGATGCGTAGCGAGATTATGACAGACTGTCTAATCAACTTGTTTGTCGGAGCTATATAAATAGTTCGCGAAGTGACTGTGTAACAAGGAATAGTTCTGTATTGCACACATGCAAGAGTGAGATTAATTATCATTGAGAATTCTCCATACTTACTAGTAGTCTTGTTTGTTTCAAACAAGCTATTTTATTATGAGTTACTACTACGCTTCCTCTTGCATCAGAAAACAATAAACAACAGTTTTGTATTGCGTGTGATTCAATGTCAGTCGACGATATAAGCTGACATTGAATATCGTGAATGCATGAAAAGTTGTTTTCTCTTACATATAAAATCTGCACGATTTAAAAAAAAATTACAATTTTTATAACTTTGTAACGAAAAAGTATATTGAGACTTATGTAAATTATAATGATTTTTATGGTGTATAATTTGTTAAATCAGTCTAGTTAATTGGTGATTTGCTTCGCTTTTCAATTTCAAAATGAAAATAATTCCCTTTTTTATGTTTTTTTTTTGCAATAAGAAATACCGCATTTATGTTTTTATTTTATTAAACCCAGCAAAAATTATAAAAATTAACAATAATAAAATTAGAAATAAGACCATTTATATGAGTATATCACCTAAATGTTGTAAAAATTAAGAATTTATAATAAAACTTAATATCAAAATTTATTTTTAATTACTTTTTTCACCAATAAAAATTAATCTAATTCACCTCGGTCTACTTTATTTTGCGCTAATCGACTTTTACGATCACTTAATTGCTTTTGCTTTCCATATTATTATTACGCTTAATTTAGTGTCATAAATTAATTATTTTAATATCGAAATGCAAATAATTACGTTTGCAATAGGTACATCTATTCATAAAATTACGCAGAGTTATACGAAAAAGCTTTGTTAATCTAAGTTGATCTTACTTGGACAGAGTTCTGACAAGCCTCGCAAGTTTAAATACTCGTTAACTTGATTACGTTGCAGTTATTTTGCAATTCAATCTATCAATATTTTTGATATATTAATTTTATCGATTAACAATTTGAGGTTCGACGGTACAAAACCGTCGCGTAAGAACATCAGTCTTATTGATATATACCATCATCTATCATTATTATATGCTACAACTGTTATCAGGAGACATGGTAATGTCTCACCGCTAAGAACACGCATTATAGGTAAAAAACAAAAACATTATATATATATATATATGTGTGTGTGTGTGTATGTTTAAACAAAACAATGTGAACGGCGTAATTAGACGGTATGTGATACAAAATGTCAGTATATCATAGCTATAGTTCGTTACAGTCAGATGATGTAACGTATATTGCAAGTGTTAACCAGCATTAATTAGTTCCAGCATGATTTGTCATCATATATAAAATTTGCAAATCATGTTCTTCTTTACACATCATGACGAAACTCTTAGCTTTTTAAAGCATTGTTAGGTAACTAATTTAAAATATTGGCAACGTAAAAAAATAACCATGAATAATTATGTAGTTACATGTATAAATTATAAATAATAATCACATGAAATTTATATCGATTATAAATAGAATTATTATAAATTATAAGCAGTATGACTTGTAGTGATAGATGTGGGACGAGAGCAACATTATTTGATATTAACTTTTTAATAAACGAATACTTTTTATAAATAATAATTCTTTTATAAATAAATGAGTATATAGTATAAATGAGTAAATAGTATAATAAGAAATTCTTTATAAATCTTTAAATACTTTTAAATCTTTATTTACTTTTAAAAATATTAACTTTATTGTTTATTAAACTTTTCAAAAAATAGAGATAATTAGAGAGTTAGACGTGAATTTTCTATTTTACAAAGTCTGCAATACGTTTCTTAGAATACAATGCTACAGATACACATTTATTTCCATTTTTTAAAAAATACATAAGTTTTACGATATTTGTACAAAATACTATTTTTTAAAGAAGCCGACAATAGACAACCGTTTGATAGCAAATGAAAGCATTAATCTGAGCGTTTGCAAGGCCTTGAATCTCAAGGTTTCGCCTTCCCACATTAATGTATGCATTCGATGTGTTGCGCATAGCATTATAAGCATGCAACAAAAATGAAATACTTGGAAATTACTATTAATATATCCGGAGCAATGCTGCGACTTCGACTAAACTATGATTAATTTATTCAACATTATGATTTAGTTAATCAGTTGCTTAAATCGTATTTTGCAGCATGTTACGAAAAAGCTTAGAATAAATTAATTTTAATTCCAACACCTAATATATATATACATATATATATATATATTTCTTTTCTTTAATTTTTAATTCTTTTTGTTGTAACTATTACATGTCCTTAAATTAATCTACTTATAACAATGATAATTTATTTATAACAAATTAAAATATGTAATATATAAAAATATTGAAAAAATTATCGTGAAAATGTTAAAGCACTGATGCATTATATAATTGTTAAATAAATGCTACGATTTTACAATTTTTTTTTAAAGGGTTCGGCGAAATCAGCGAACACCTTCATACCGACACTTTCGATTTCATTGTATTTAGGAGCTTCGGCTTGGATCTTAGAATACCATTTCAGAATATTGCTATATTTACTCAAATCATAGTCCATAAGCTGCAAGAAGAAAAATGTTTAAATCGTTAATTCGATGTTATTTTCATTATAATAATTTGCGAAGTTATATCATCGATAAATTTATGGTTTTAATTTTGTTTATCAAATAATTATTATATGTATGTATATTGTACAACAAAGTGTTACAAATCTAAAAAGCGTAACAATTTACTTAAATAAATATTAAAAATAATAATAAAACTAATAAAATTTGATTTTTTAACAAAAAATAATTTTTTTTTATGTCTAAATCTATAGAAATATTTTTGTCTTGTATACTTATTTACTGACTTAATGAATATTTCGAATCAGTGATGTGTTTGTGTAAAACTAGTTTTTTACCTTAAAATTAGAAACAGTGACGACCAAGGCAAGATCAGCGAGAGTTAGAGTTTTTCCCGCTACATAATTTTCTCCTTCTAGAAATTTATTCAAGAAAGTCAAGGCTTCGTTCATCTTAGCGTATGTTGCTTTTTGTGGAGTGGCGCCGGTGAACATTATCGAATACTGCAATTAATATATATATATATATATATATATATATATATATATATATATATATATATATATATATATATATATATATATATATATATATATATTAATTGCAGTATTCGATAATGTTCACCGGCGCCACTCCACAAAAAGCAACATACGCTAAGATGAACGAAGCCTTGACTTTCTTGAATAAATTTCTAGAAGGAGAAAATTATGTAGCGGGAAAAACTCTAACTCTCGCTGATCTTGCCTTGGTCGTCACTGTTTCTAATTTTAAGGTAAAAAACTAGTTTTACACAAACACATCACTGATTCGAAATATTCATTAAGTCAGTTGTGTCGTGACACTATGTGTTGTTATTGGTCGTATCACATATTTTTCCGCTATTTATATCTATGAGAAATGATACACATTAAAAACCAAATAAGTGAGATCAATAAACAAAGTGATACTGAAGGTTTGCCTGATGTTTATCTTCCTCTTCTAAAGAAAGATCTCTCTCGCACTTAATAAATAATTCTAGAACTTTCTAAACTATTTGACTCATGGATATAAATAGCGGAAAAATATGTGATACGACCAATAACAACATATAGTGTCACGACAAATTTCTATCTGTGAAATGAGTATACTTATAATTCATCGATTATTTTGCTGTAAAACAGGTAATGTTTCCTTTATACTCTATTTTAAAAGATATTAATAATAAAATAAATTATTGTAAATTAGAATCTCGTTCTACACTTTTTACTACATGACTTCTGACGTTCTAACATTATTATATGAAGCAGCGTCGCTTTGATGCAAACACGATCTTTACAATTATAACACACGAGGATTGAATTTAATTCCAACTTGATGTAACTCTGCGTCTTAAGAATATTATTAATTTTACTGAAGGTGGCCAGATTGTGGCCGAAACATTTAATGTTTTTATTCTAATTCGTAATGCAAGAATAATTAAATATCACTAACTACATCTTGTGCTGTGGTTCTTTCTTTTCATATTTTTATATATGTATTTTATTAAAATATTTTTTTTTATAATATGGTAAAAATAGGATTTCGATATTTCGCATAGTTTCAAAAAAATTTAAGTACGTTGATTAAAATTAGACACATTATATATATATGTGTGTGTGTGTGTGTGTTTTGTGTGTTGTGTGTGTGTGTGTGTGTAATTATTAATTTTATCAATTATAATATTAAATATTATAAAATTTAAGAATAATTTACATAATAATCGGAGAATGATTTATACAGCGTTCCCAAGTCGAAGAATAATCTCTGATCAACCAAAGCTCGTTTTTTTGGATCTTTTGGATAAAGAGAATCTTTTTTGTCATATTGATTGGCTAAGTAAGTCATAATCGCACGACTGCAAATTGATGCAAACTCTTAATTAATTAAAATCATAATAATGTAGAATGTTATTAAACAATTTGTAAATAAAATATTTATTTAATATGTAGAAATCTGAAATTAACTTATTTTGCCCAAATATTGGATTTCATACCAAATAAATAAACTTAAAAAAGTATAGCAAAGTTGTACAATTATACAATTATAAAAAGTATATATTTATTTTACGTTTATTTTACAAAAATCAGATATTTATTAAATGTTGTTAATATAAAAAATTTAAAGAAGAGTACCTTTCACATAAATAAAAGCCGCCGTCATCCAATGTAGGTATTGTATGTTGTGGGTTCATCTATTAAGAGCAATACATATAAAATAACAATTATTTTAAATTATCTTGAAATTTGAAATACATTTTTATTCGATAAGTAAATTTATAAAAATCTAGAAACACAACAGATCTGTTTTTTGATATTAAGAGAAAGTTTAAGAAAAATACGTTTGAAGAATTTTCAGGTCCAATTACTTATTTTTCTTCCGGCATTATTTTTTTTTCTTTCAAAAAAACGTAAATAAATCCTTGTGGTTTGGAACATAACAATCACAGATAATTTAATTTAAAGAATTCACTTGTATCTTTAAATGCTTTATTTTGTAAAAAATTTTATTACGAATTACCTTAATAAATTCAGATTTTAGGTGTTCGCCGGTAGCGATATCCACCTTTTTCAAATTTAAATCCACTTCTAAGGCTGCCGCCGTCAAGAGCACGGCCCGACATGGCGGACTTCCAGCAAGTTGGTAAAGATCAGGCATCTTGAAATCTGTAGAAATGCGCAACACTATTAATAAAGTAATCACTATGATCTCTAGCGTGTCGAAAGTATTCGAGCGACGCGAAACTCTTTTCGATGATATGGGAGTTTTTCATGTTTAAAAGAGCATTGAAAAATAGAAAAAAATGAAGAAGAATAATTAAAATATCAGATACAATCTGTTGACATTATCTGATACAAATTTAACTCGAGGTACATAAATTTGCGTTATTAAGTTAATTAGTTAAAAGCAAACTTGTTAATTATAGACCGGAAATTACGACGAACCGTAGCGTTACATTTAACTATGTACTGAGCAGAACGTGGAAAATAAATCAAAAATTTTATAAATAAAATTTGTTTTATAAAGAATATTCATAAATTATTGTAATAAAAAACGATTTAAGCATTTGCCGAATTACAGTCGTTTTCGCGCACTGTGAACGTGTATTCACGAATATTCACAATTGTTCAAGTAGTTTTATCACTCTAGCAGTTTTGGCGAACTATTGATAACAGGTAGAAAGAAATGCAATTACAACGGACCAGCAGATTGTATTCTCTAGAGACGTAGCAAGATTAGACTGTGTAACCAACTTGCTTGTCTGAGGTATTTATAAAGCTCGTGTAACATGGAACAACCTTTACGTACATATGAGTGAGATCGATGATTGAGTATGTTGAGGTTCTCAATTTTTGTTAATAGTCGAAGGTGTTGCCATTTTCTGCTTCAAATGTTCCATTTACATAATAAACAATAATCATAATTGCATAATAAACAATAAGAAATTTTTTACAATAGATAAACATAATCGATATATATTATTAAGAGAGAAAACACCTAAAGTAAAAAAGTAATGCTTTATTTTGTGTGAATTGTCTTGCTCATGATGTAACGCTTTTATCATTATACGCTTATCTAATTGCATATACGTAGCTAAAAGTTATTGATAAAGTTATATATAAACAGGTTTTGTAAGTTTATGTTGTCTGAAATATAAAATAAATAAATTTACGTTAACATTCCTAATAACTTCAACTATTGTAAAATAATATAACTTTTAACATTTTTAAAAAAGGAAATATTTATAGTTAATGTTTTCCTAATCAACAATTTCCTAATCAGCATTTTTGTTTTTTTAATAATCGGCATTAATTAATTTCGATACGCACATGATTTGTTATCTTATAAAAAATTTGCAAGTCATGCTTTTCTTTACATGTTTGCATTCATTACATTGTATTCATGAGAAAACGTTAAAAGTTTAGTATTGATTATCAGACGAATGACTCAGTTAAATTTGTATTAGTAGCGGAAAAAAATAATGTTCGTTTCAAAAAAACAATCTCGTTTCACTATCATTGGCTACAATATCAACTCTTTGGATGACAAAAATTTTTTATATTACAAAGTCTACAAAGTAATAGCGAAATACAATGCTACAGACACACACTTATTTTCATTTTTTTAAAGCTCATGTAAGTTTTACAATTAAAAATTGTAAATCTTACATAAATGTAAATTGCTTTTGTATGTAAAATATCATCTTTCAAAGAATTCAGCAGACAAACCATTTGATAATAAATGAAAACATTTGCTGTCTTTGTGATCTTGAGCTTCAAAATTTCTTCTTACTTCAATATACATTTGATAAGTTGCGCGTAGCATCGCGTGAATGTAAAGAATGAAAACGATATATCTTGATATCATCGTTAGCATTGGAAACAAAAACTACGTAGGCGAAAATAATGGTAAAAAAGGAAATCAATAATTTTAATAGCCGAGTATAATTCCCTTGAGAAATTAGTGATGGAAGATATTAGCTTTTCTAACAATAAGTTGCAACAGAGGTAAATTCTTCTTTCCCATTCTTTCTACTGTTTCTGTATATAATTTTATATAAATAAACTTTTTGTTTATCCTAAGTGATATTTATAATATTTGGAGGCTGAATACGAAGGTACTTCTGTTTATATATTAAAAAATAAATCCTTCTTAACTTAATATTTGCTACAGAAAAATACTGCAAATAACCCATAACTAACTGGAGCATCAAAACATTTTATGTATGCGTTTATATATGTCTATGCTCGCGCATGCGCTCAATTGTTTATTTATTTTTACAGAGATCGGTCGATCGGTCCCGACAAGTTATTTTTATAGAGATTCAATTGTACTTATAATAAAATATTAAAAGCTTTGATAACAACGTCTTATCGCTAGATGATAATGATTGTGTTAAAGTTAAAAATACACTTTTTCGAAGTAGAAACATTTATATGAGTAACCATATTTATTCAACATTCCAATAAATACTATGTTCACAATTTTTATTGCTTCATGTTATGTTTATTTTTTTGATATTCTTACATGCTATATTTATATAATATGATTTATATAATATTCTTTAATTACACAATTTTATTGTACAATTCAATAATTATGTACATATTAATATATTTATTAATTTAATATTTAATTACTTATAAAAATAAATGTATTTTTATTTCAACTTTTTGTATGAAGTACATATGATAAAATAACAGTTTTTTATGACTATTATGAGTTGCAACTTGTGTTTCTATCATAAATCAATTGAAGAGTAATCATTATTTAAACAATGTTGTATTTCATATATATTCCAAGAATTAAATAAATTCCTATTAATCCTGTTAGGTTAAAATTTATTGAACAAAATATAAAAATAATTAATTAAATAAGATGTAAATAAAGATATAAATTAAGTTATAAATAAAAATAGGTTTCCTATAATGTGTATGGATTTTGTAATCTTTAAAAGATACCCGACATACGACACAGACGGAGTGACATATGTTAAATGTGAATAACGTAGAATTTTAGTAGCGTTGCCATCAGTCGGCATATTATTCATCTTTGATGTTTTAAATTTTCAATAAAAAAAAAGTATAGAAATTTAAAAAATTATAAGAAATTATAGGAATTATATATAGTATAATTTGAAATTAATCGAATGATGTAATTTTTTCAAATATATTAATATAATACTAAGACTTATTATTATTATATTAATAATTTACTTTTTTATCTTATAATATATTATGCTAGCAGACAATATATACTTCTTCATTTGTTTGTATTCTTATTTTTATATTTATAAAATATATTTATAAAATATATTTATAAAATGTGCAAAAGTGCAGAAATTTAAATAATATTAAATGCGTTTAAAAATCAATGTACAATCATTTTAAATATGAGTTTTGATAAAAACCTTATGCAATAGATAATATTTTTTTTTACACAATTACATTTAATTATTAGCATTACAATTTAATTAATAGCATTACACGTAAATGTTTTATATATTTAATATGTGTTTAGTTTCGAATTAAAATAATATATTACGTATATTATTCATTTTCTTCTTCTCCTTCAGCTTCTTTTTCTTTTTCTTCTTCTTCTGCTTCTTCTCCTCCTCCTTCTCCTTCTTCTGTGTTGCCTTGTGAAGCTTGAACCATTTGCTTGAACATCTCGACAGGTTCACCATTAGCTTTCTCATATCCAGGTGCAGATGTTTGTATTCTCTCCAACCAATCAGAAATGTTATTGTATTCTCCCAAATCAAACCCAAAAATCTAACAAACAATCGATTAGTTTTGCAGATCTCAAAATGAATTCAAAATATGTGACAACTGACAACAAAGCAACTAAAATCATATAAAATTACTAATAGGAGAGGGAGAATAATCTTAAAAAATATCTACAAAAAAGGAAGATTACACCAAAGAATTGACATGCAGCATTTTGTCGTTTTAGTTTGTTCTAAAAATAATTATAGTCAATTAATATTACATAACATTATTAAAATTACCATCGCTGTTGTTACTGACGCAACTAAGGAAAGATCGGCGATCGTTAAATTATCTCCAGCCACGTAAGCTTGTCCTTCAAGAAAATTGTTCATGATTTGAAAATTTTCTATTAGTTTTTCAAACTGTGCTGGATCACACGTATCGATTTCCTTTCTGAGAACTTTCAACTATGATCACAGAATGTGCAATGATTGGTTACATGCAGCCTCAATATGGTTTATTTAGAAATAATGAAATGTATACGTACGTAACAATCAAATATATTCGGAAAAAGATTGCCAAGATCGAAATATAATCGTTGATTAACTAAAGCACGTGCCTCTATATTGCGCGGATATAATGTATCATCCTGGCCATATTGATCGACCAAATAAGCCATGATAAATATTATATATTATATATAAATATTATAAGATGAATTACATAACACTTATTAAGACGCTTCTACAGACCTTTCCGATATTTTAAGATCATCGTCGATTAGAAAAGGAACTGTCTTTTGTGGATTCAACTAAAAATAAAATTATGCTCTTTCTAATATTAAAAAATATAGTGCTTTCCAATAATATTTTCTGTTTAAATTACAAAATTATCTAAAATAGCAGAAATATTTTTACTGAGTAATATTTAAACACTATTAATTTTTCATACCTCCTCGTATTCCGGTGTCAAATGCTCACCAGTCATTGTGTTCAATATTACTAATTCCATTTCGAGTCCTATTGCCTCTACCACGAGCATGACAGCTCGGGAAGGTGGACTCAGAGGAAAATAATATAATACAGGCATTATTTGTTTTTAAAATAACTCAATTTGTTCGATTGATATATATGATATTCACGTAATTTATAATGTGTACAAAACCTCTTTTTGTTAATTCTAAATTAATAAGTATAAAGTATTCGTTTTTTCGCGAAAACAATTGCGTGCACAGATCCAGGTTTGTACGAAGACTGAACAGTTCTGGACTATAACTTTCCATTGAATCGATATACTGCCTTGTATTTAAATATTACTGTCAGCCTGTAGCTTTGACCTTTATTAGATTTTTATGACGGATAGGCGCAGATAGATGGATAGCTTTACTTACGGTTTTTTTTTGTAGGATTGGAAACTATGTTATGAACAATTATAAAATGCAGTTTAAGTAAGATAAAAAAAAAGAAGCTATATGTATAATTCATATATAATTTTAAAAATATTAAAATTAATTTAAAATCTAATTAATTTATATAGCATTAATGAATATAAGTTTTAATATCTTTTTGTGCACTGCACTTGAGTCTCATAAATTAAAATGTTTACATAGTATTATTTTTACAATATTTGTAACAAATTCTACAATCATCGACAAAATACGATTGATGCAAACACAGACTCTTATATTGTAATTGCTATCGTTATTTAGAGAGTAGAATCGAATGAACATTAAATTTAAGACAAACTACCAGTGACAAATTACGAGCATAATGAGAATAGACGAATTCACGGTTTGAAAGACTCGTTAATATCGAGTGTTCGAAGATCGTTATAAAAGGTGAAGGAGAAATAAAAATTCTTTTCAGTTGTTAGAAAAGTTATTAATATTAAACAATTTCAATAAATTTTTAGAAATAATTTGTATTTAAAGAATTATACGATACTTTCTATTTTAGAAATTGTAGTCTTTTAGTCAAATTGCTTTAAACATATTAATTAAAAAGTATTCAATATAATGATATTTATATATCATGAACAGTTGTTATAAATATAAAATCTTTAAAGTAGAGAAACAGTGAAAGAGCTTATACGCGAGTCGAAAAAGTTATTTCTGATATGAAGAATCACATTGTACATGTCGTATGAGCGAATTCTGTGATATTCTTTGTATACAATATAAAAATTTTTTCATATACATAACAATAAATAAATAAATCCTAATAGATTAAATAAGAAAGAAATTTTTATTAGAATAAAATTTATGACTACATTATTAATCTAGTAGTTTTTAAATTTGTTTTGCATATATACAACATAACTTTGCAACGGTCGATATGATGGAATTTGCCTATGACGTTTCCAGTGGAAAGAAGAAGATTTTGGGCTGGTCGTGAAAACTTTTTGTTCGCGACAAAGCTATGCACAAGCTAGGTCAAGATTCTCTAAGAGCAGACCGTTCATGGAAACTATGCTAAAGTTTTCCTATTATTAAATGACCAGTAGAGGTGAGAATTCTCAACTTTATACCCATGAAATTTTGCGGAGAGAACATGTATTATCTTGTAATATTTTAATTATAACTTTCCTTAGATATTATAAGAGGTAATTGCAAATAGGATATTAAGTAATTTTATATTTGGAAACATATAGTGTAAAATAGCACAACTTTTGTGTTATCTGCAATTGTATGTATTTATATAGAATTAAAATCAGTTCTTATGTACATAATAATTTTTTATTACGTTCTGTTAGATTAATATGTGTGTTTAAAAAAAAAATCCATAGTAATAATCATACTATCGTCACATTATTTAATTTTTTAAATGCAATATATTTTCTTTATATTTTTTTTTATATCATAGTTCCAAGTTTATTAATATACTTATACGTTAAAATTTATTATTAATAATAAAACAACATTTTAATATTTTTCAGATTTTTTATTCTATTTTCTTAAGAGTTTTTTGTTAGAACCATGTATTTTTTTTAAAAAGTTTTAAAAGATAAATCTCACTCTGAAAAATGAAATCTCACTTTTAAAGATTAAAAATTAGGCCACTCTGTTTCAAGATTGGCTCAATTCTCAGTCTTTAGAGTGAAAATCCACGCCAAAGAATTTAGAGAGATACATATCTTTAAATTAGTATTATTTTTAACTGTTTAACAATACATAATAATTTATTTATTTAAAAATTCGAAATTTATGATATATAAAAATATTGTAAGACAAACTATTATTTCATAAAAATATGAAAGCACCAATGCATTACACAACTGTTAAAACAATGTCACGAGATTACTTCTTTTTTCTAGCATTTTCGACGAGATCTCTGAATGCCTTTATACCAACGCCTTCGACTTCATTGTATTTAGGAGCTTCGGCTTGGATCTTGGCAAACCATCTCAAAATGTTGCTGTATTTACTCAAATCATGATCCACAATCTGTAAGAAAAGAAATGTTAATATTTAAATTGCTAATTTGATTATTTTTGCTATAATGATTTACAAAACTATTTTTTTGATAAATTTATATTTTAGATTTTATTTATAATTAAAATATATACATATTATACTATATAATGAAGTGTTACAAATTTAAAAGTGCAAAAATTTATTACTTGAAATTAATATTGCAAATAATAATAAAACTATTCATATTTGATTTTTCAAAAACAATTTTTTTTGTTTAAATCTGTAAAAATATTTTTTCTTCCACGTTCACAATTTACTGTATTTAATTAATGTATGTTTCAATAAACCGGTGATGTATACTTGTGTAAATCTAATTTTCTACCTGATAATTAGAAATGGTGACGGCTAAGGCAAGATCGGCGAGAGTTAAAGTTTTTCCTGCCACATAATTTTCCCCTTCTAGGAATTTATCCAAGAAAGATAAGGCATCATTCATTTTATCGTATTTTGCTTGCTCCGGAGTGACGCCGGTAACTACCAGTTGATACTGTAATTAATGTTTATTATATCTATATCGTCATCGATTTTGTTAACCATTACATATTGCGAAACATTATATGATCCAAGAATAACTTACATAATAATTGATAAAAGATTGGTACAGAGTTCCCAAGTCAAAATATAGTCTCTGATCAACCAAGGCTCGTTTCTTTGGATCTTTTGGGTAAAGAGAACCGTTCTTATCATACTGATTAGCCAGGTAAGTCATAATCGCGCGGCTGCAAATTAATGCGAGCATGTAAATAAATGAATAATAAATGTTATAATAATAATAATTAACTAACACTAATTTTAAAGAATTTGTATATGATTTTGTAAATCTGAAAGAATTCGTAAATCTAAATTAGCTTTAAGCAAATATAGAATCTAATACCATGGGAATTTAATATCAAGTAAATTAAACTATAACAAAATGTAAGTCATTAATTATTATAGAGAAAGTATATTTATTTTATATGTATGAATGTCAATGACATTCGCTAAATGTTGAAGTAAGAAAAATTAGGAAATACATACCTTTCCCATAAATGTAGGCCATTATCATCCAATGTAGGCACCGTATGTTGTGGATTCATCTATAAACAAAATATATAACAAAATAATAATTATTTTTAATTTATTTTGAAATTTGAAGTGTATTTCTATTCGACAAATTAATTATAAGAACTTACAAAACAGAAAGGATCTGCCTTTTTTATATTTAAAAAAACAGTTTTTAAAGAAAACATGTTTGAATAATGCAGTTAATTGTACATTACCGTATCTGTATTTTTAGTATTAACATATCGATGTTATTGGAAAGCAAATTTATATACAAAAAATTAGTATGAAATAAAAACATTATACGTAAACAGAATGTTTAAGTTTTCGTTATAATAAACATTTTGTTATTTATATAAAATGTTTTTACACCTTTAATATTAATTGCTTTTAACCCTTAGTACCCGCAAAGGATTAGTGTAACCCTTCTCCCCCTTTTCATAGACTTTTTTCCGACTTCTTTTCACTTATTGCAAAACATCTTTTGTGCTATGATATTTTAGACTTTTAACTAAAAAATTTTTTTTTTCAGTCTTCAAACGATAGATTAAAAAAAAAGTTAGTTAAAATCGATGCACTACAATCTGTGATACAAGCAAAAGAAAACGCTGGGTTACAAATATGATGTGGATAGATAGGGACTTTTTTGAGATGTGGGTACTGAGGTATTTTTAATATCAGGAATATTAAAAACAGTAGTACGTCAATAAATATTGCTCAATATAAACATTGCTGTTTACGTATTAAAAAAGAAATGCTTAAGCAATTTGCAATTAAAACTCTCAGAAAGTTAAAAAACTGTTAATTAAAGAAAACATAAATTTTTAAATAAGTTATTTTTAGAAAAAAAGTTATAAATACTACATATTTTTGCGTCTTTGATATTGTTACGTAAAAATGTGAAAAATCTTTCATGTGATAAGATAAGAAAAAACAAATAAAATATGATTTTTGTCAGATTTGTTTGGTTATTAGCAATCAAATTTGACACCAATGCGTGCTATAAGATTTGAAATCTTGAAAAGAATTTGGTAATGAGCAAATATTGCCTAAACAAATATGTTGTCTTCCTAATGAATGTGGAGTCTCGACGCGGGTCTACGATTTTTGTAGAATCCTCAATAAATGCACGGTTTCCATTGTTCTGTATAAAGCTCTATTTAGGGTACTCAGTTCTGAAAGACAATGGAGACGTTGAATGGCGTTGCGTGGCTTCATACGTTGCATGGTCGTCTGATAGTTGAGTTCCGGTTTCAATCCTAGCTTTCACCTCCACACTATGCTTCATTAAGAGGTCGGTATTTTTCCATGAATTAAGAAATGATAATTCCATACGCGCGCGCGGACTAAGAACATTGTGTTCTAATACCTTTTATGAATATCTTTTATGAATAAATTTAATATTAAGGTATCAAGAGAGCTTTCTTGAGGAGACTTATAACTCAATTTCAATAAAGCGAGTACTGCAACCTTTAAAATATATAAAGTTAGAAATCCAAATAGAGGCAATAGAGGAAAAACAAAAATTTGCCGACGTATTCTTGATACATATCAAGAGAAATTAAATTAAATCTCGAATAACGGAGTAATTAAAATCACAAATCGATCAAACTTTAATGGACATTTGAGTTCCATCGGTTCGTAGAATCTATAAATTCAGAGCGAATGCTAAGCATATCTGGAATGGACAAAACAGGTGAGAG